ATGAGTAAAAGAGGGCAGAATGTTATATCACCCGCCGCGTTTATTGTCCGCTCCGAAATAAACGTGGCCCGCTAACTTTAAACAAGGGTTACGAAAAGTCAAAAACTAAGACTTTATACTAAAACGGGTCAAATTCAATGGGCCGGATTTAATTAATGAGGCACGACCGTACTTAATGAGTGTGAGACGGCAGAAATTCAAATCTCCCGCCACGATGCACTGTCTACAACAAACTGATGCCGGCTAGCCAAACTAAACGTGGCCCGCTAACTTTAAAGACTGCTTACGATAGTCAACAACCAAGACGTTATACTAAACGGGTCAAATTCAACGGGCCGGATTTAATTAATGAGGCACGACGGTACTTAAATGGGTAAGAGAGGGCAGAATTTCAAATCTCCCGCCACGATGCACTGTCTACAACAAACTAATGCCGGCTAGCCAAACTTAACGTGGCCCGCCTATTATTAAACTTTGAACAAGGATTACGATAGTTAACAACTAAGAATTTGAACTAAACGGGTCAAATTCAACGGGCTGGATTTAATTAATGAGGCACGACCGTACTAAATGGGTAAGAGAGGGCAGCCTTGTTAAAGTTAGCGGGCCACGTTAAGTTTGGCTAGCCGGCATTAGTTTGGTGTAGACAGTGCATCGTGGCGGGAGATTTGAAATTCTGCCCTCTCATTCTCAATTTAGTACGGTCGTGCCTCATTAATTAAATCCGGCCCGTTGAATTTGACCCGTTTAGTACAAAGTCTTAGGTGTTGACTATCGTAATCAGTCTTTAAAGTTAGCGGGCCACGTTTAGTTTGGCCAGCCGGCATTAGTTCGGTGTATATGTAGACAGTGAATCGTGGCGGGAGATTTGAAATTCTGCCCTCTCATTCTCAATATTGAGTACGGTCGTGCCTCATTAATTAAATCCGGCCCGTTGAATTTGACCCGTTTAGCATAAAGTCTTAGTTGTTAACTATCGTAATCCTTGTTTAAAGTTAGCGGGCCACGTTTAGTTTGGCTAGCCGGCATTAGTTTGTTTTAGTTTGTTGTAGACAGTGCATCGTGGCGGGAGATTTGAAATTCTGCCCTCTCATGCTCATTAAGTACGGTCGTGCCTCATTAATCAAATCCGGCCCGTTGAATTTGACCCGTTTAGTATAACGTCTTGGTTGTTGACTATCGTAATCAGTCTTTAAAGTTAGCGGGCCACGTTTAGTTTGGCTAGCCGGCATTAGTTTGGTGTAGACAGTGAATCGTGGCGGGAGATTTGAAATTCTGCCCTCTCATACTCATTAAGTACCGTCGTGCCTCCTTAATTAAATCCGGCCCGTTGAATTCGACCCGTTTAGTATAAAGTCTTAGTTGTTGACTATCGTAATCCTTCTTTAAAGTTAGAGGGCCACGTTTAGTTCGGAGCGGACAATAAAGGCGGCGGGTGATATAACATTCTGCCCTCATTTACTCATTAAGTACCGTCGTGCCACGTTAATTAAATCCGGCCCATTGAATTCATACCTTTAGGACATCGAGTAAGTGTATTGCTACAAGTATCAATCTTTGAATTTAACGGGCCACATTTTGTTAGACGTCAGATACACTTTATACCCTTTCCAGCAGCCCACTCAGATGGCGTAGGATTTGAAATTCTGCCCTATCATACGTAAGTACCCTTGTGCCTCCTTAATCAAATCCGACCCATTGAATTTGATACTTTTAGTGTATATAGCCTTGGTTGTTGACTATCGTAATCCGTCTTTAAAGGCCACGTTCAGTTTGGTGGAGATATAACTGTACACATATCTCTTATGCCTAATTAGGCCCGCTGTCAACGGCCTAATTAAATCCGGCAGGTAAAATCTGAAACTTGTAGTAGACTTGTGATGTACTAAGCTATCATAACGCTTTTTTCAAGTTCACCTGCCATATTTTTCGGCTAAATTACTGATTTTTTGGGTTTTCGAATCGGTACCCGAATCAGTTGCTATGTTCCATCTAGCGGCGAAACGCCGGCTGAAACGCCGGCTACGAATCGAAGGCTGTAACGCCGGCTAGCTTCACTTTGGTGAATCTCCGTGAAACCACAATATCAGTGTCAAGAAGCATACATGAAGTTCTAGTCACTGTATGAACAGGGGTGCCAGCGTATACAGTGCAATTTTACGGAATATAGTGCAATTTTACGCGAATACAGTGCAATTTTACGGAATACGGTGCAATTTTAAAGAATACAGCGCAATTTTACTAGTACACAGTGCAATTTTACTAGTATACAGTGCAGTGTATTCCGTAAAATTGTACTGTATAACAATACGATTGTACTGTATTCCGTACAATTGCACTGTATTCCGTAAAAGTGCACTGTATACTCTGGCACCCCTGATCTGATGAAAGAGTCAAGCAATAATTTTACACTCACAGAAAAGATGTTGGCGAGTCCGTCCATGGTCTTAGCGTCCTTCAAAACGGCGAGTTTCCCGCCCGGGCCCAGGGCAGAGCACCGCTCCACGGCAGTGTCGTAATCCTCCTGCACATCTTTCTCACTCACGTCATAGCAACGGTTGCCATAGAAGAACGCCCCTGGACGACAGGGTCCCGACGCTTGGAAAACATGAGGAAATAGTAGAAATAATAAAAGAAAACTACTCTCCTCTTAAGTTTAACATCCAAAAACCCACAAATTTCAGAAATTTCAGGTTTTGTACAAGCCTATAGAAATCATTTCTCTCTTTACTATATAATCTACACTCTATAAAAAAGTGACATTCGTCCTCTATTCTATTCAAATTATAGCATGTACATAACCTTTGTTCCAGAGGGGTGCGGGTATGTCATCCAGTTTCAATTTGTAGTTTATGGCAGCTTATCCTAGTCTTGTGGCTGCATTTCTGATCTTCACATTTTCATTACTTAGGTATTTTTCTTCATTATATGTAGTTTTAAACAATCTATACGATCTTATACAATATTTTTGTTTTGGCAGCTCCACCTTTGTTGTCATTGCGCATTTTTTTGTGACCCTAGCCTTACCTGGAGTGGTTGGTCTGCCGGGTCTCCCGGGTGGTCCTCCCCGTCTCGCCAGGGTTGGGAGCAGCAGGAGCCCGCTGACTACCGTTATCAGTCCCGCACATCTGCCGGAACCCACCATGCTGCCTTCTCTCTCGTCTGCGCGACAATAACCGGGCTTCTAAATCTCATAAACTGTAGCTAAAACTTCCCCCAAACATAGCCTCCTGTGCAGCCTCCGGGGCGGGTGGGAATTTTGATAAAGCGTTTTGTCGAGCTTTAAATAGCCGGCCATCCTACAACCAGCCGCCGAGAGAAGGTTGTTGTGGGCGGAATACAACCTTCGTTCTCTCGACGGCTGGTTGTAGGATGGCCGGCTAGCCTATTAGAAGTACAAAACGCTGTATCAAAATTTCCACCCGTCCCGGAGCTCCTGCACAGGAGGCTGTAGCTGAAACTTCCCCCAAACAGCAAAACAAACGGGCTTCTAAATTTCATCAAACTCTAGCTAAACTTCACCAAACAAGCGAAACAAAAACGCTTCTACGTCTCATAAACTGTAGCTAAAACTTTACCCAAACAGCGAAACAAACTCGCTTCTAAATCAACTATAGCTGAAACCTTTCCCAAACAGCGAGACAAAATAGCTTCTAAATCTCATACAACTGTAGCTAAAACTTTCACCAAACAGCGAAACAAAATAGCTTCTAAATCTCATACAACTGTAGCTAAAACTTTCACCAAACAGCGAAACAAAATAGCTTCTAAATCTCATACAACTGTAGCTAAAACTTCCCCCGAACAGCTAAACAAACTCTCCTCTATGTCTCATACAACTGTAGTTAAAACTTCCTCCGAACAGCGTAACAAACGCACTTCTAAATCTCATAAATTGTAGCTAAAATTTCCCCCAAACAGCTAAACAAACGGTCTTCTAAATTTCATATAACTGTAGCTAAAATGCCCCCCAAACAGCTAAACAAACTCGCTTCTAAATCTCATACAACTGTAGCCAAAACGTCCCCCAAATAGCTAGCTTAAGACAATCGGGCTTCTAAATTTCATCAAACTGTAGCTAACACTTCACCAAACAAGGGAAACAAAAACACTTCTAAGTCTCATAGAACTGTGTCTAAAACTTACCCCAACCAGGGTAGAAAAATCGCCTTTTAATCCCGTAATACTGTATAGCTCAAACTTCCTCCAAAACCAGTCAGGAACCCCAGAGTCGTTCTATAGCTAACCCACAAGAGAGAGCGACGCGGTTCGTGTTTGAGTGTTTCCGACTGAGAGAAAAATGGAGAACTAGAAAATGCGGCGCTTTAAAACGGCTCAACGATGTTTGAGGTAAACCGGCGAAACCGTGGAGACGCCGGGGGTGGTTAAGTACAAGTGACGTCACAGCGTGGGAAACACTAATCCTCTCAACAAAAATAATTTCACCGACTCAAATCTGAAAATATTTAGTCTACGTTTTATATGTATACCCGACTTTACCCAAAAACACCTATTAAATGACAATTAATTTGATCGCCTTTCTAAATGGCATCACTGCTATGAATTATATCGCTTACGCGCTGCAATTCGCAAAATTAAAACAAGAAGCCATAGGTGACAATCCTCCGTGAAGTTTTATATATTTCAACAAAATCCCAAGCGTCAATGCCAGACCTACTGTGCAGACATTGTAATTAGGCAACGGTTAATACAATGAGGGCGCGTCACAAGCATAAAACATACAAAAAGCTAAATCCATTACTGCTCCCAGGGCGTGTAAAGATACTGTGCTTCAAGTTCGAAGTTCATTTTAATTACACACACACAATTATTGCATTCACATAAAGATCGGACTATCATGGTCGTGTCTAGTAACAAAGACAGCCCCACCGTCTTACCGTGCCTGTACCTAATTAAGCGCGCCTGGAACAGGCCAAATTCCAGCAACAGTTGCGGTAAGCACCGCGAGTGTTACTACCGCCGGCCAGATAACCAGGATATCTGCTTAGAGTACCTCTGCTACCAGACAACTGCCTAAACCTACGGCCTATTCCACAGGATTGTAAAAGTAGGGATGTTTCTAAAATATGCATTTACTTCAATATCAAAACAGCTACGGTAAAAATAAAAAGACGTGCATCATCCCGGACATAATGCCACACCACATGCGAAATTACACAGAAATGCGACGTACGGAAGAATGCGTTTTGGCTGCGAACATCTTCCAAAAAACTTGGCATCTCTTAAGCATGGGCAAAAACATCTGGAACCACTTATCAAAACCACCCCGTATCTGCATGAAGTTCCACCCCCCCCACTGCTATTCCAAACAACGCGTTTTTCTGGACCATTCCAATTTGCCTCGTAATTGTAGGGGTGCGTCTGCAATATTACATTGACCGCGAAAGCAGCAACGGCAAAAATACACATTGTGCATCAACACGGGCATGCCCGCAGACGGCGTATAAAATTGCGTGCCGATTACACAAAGAGAACCCAGTGTTTTGACTGCGAACATGAAAAATCAGCCGATCACAACACTCCGTCCGGAGGTCCTGACCTCCTTCACGGAGTAACTAGTGCTCACCCCCTCAAACTATAGAGAGGGCGGTATGTAGGGTCGTGTGGCGTAGCGTGTTCGGCTCTGAACCATGAGATCCTGGGTTCGGGTCCCACCTTGTCATCGATCTTGTGACATTGGGAGGCACTTTACACGACTTTCCTCACTTCACTCAGGTGAAAATGAGTACCTAGCTTTGGTTAGAGACGTCCCTCGGATAGGACGTTAAATGGAGGTCACGTGTTTGGGAGAGCCACATCCCACGTACGTTAAAGAACCCACCACACCAAACAAACAAACAAACAAAGAACTTACCTGTGTGCGAAATAACTTGTAAATATCACATGCCATTTTGTTTGACCTGTTTGAAGAGGCCAACAAATTCCATCCTAAGTTCTTCACCTTTACAGACAAAAAGAAAACTTAGTAACTCTCCTCTTAACATCACAAAACCCACACATTATAGAAAAGGTGGGATCATTCGTCTTCCACTGTCTCGGAAAAAGAGCTTAAACCAACAAGTTAGAATTTAGTGTTCAAATCAGTTTTCTGTTACAGTCAACGTCCGTCCGTAGAAGACAAAACTTCGCTATGAAAATAATTTATACTTTGGAAATGATCCCTAAGCCAGTAAAATCGAGTTAGCCACTCGGGAAAAAAGACGAAAATGAGATTACATTGTTTATAGGTAGTTGGGAATTTATGTTAAGCTTGAAAGATCGCTTACTGGCGACAATAGATGCGGTATTGTGTAGTTGACAAGCAGAGTGGTAGTTTCTCTGGCAGTACTGATCCACCGTCACAAAACTAAGAATTAGGCCACAGCAAGTCATTTTTATGGATGACATCAACGCGTGCATTAATTTTCGCCTGATTTTGAAAAAAGAAAATTTTGTTGCCCTCTGACAGTGGTCAACATGTCGAAAATGGGCAACGTTGTCTGTTGCCATGCTGGAACTTGGATGACAGATAAATATGAAGAGAGGACACAAGACTCTGATTTATTGTTTTGTCTTTTACTTTAATTTGTTGTAGTGTTGTCTTTCATTCCTTTATATGTGATGTTGCCGCTGAATAAAAAAAAATCACGAGTGAAAGTAGTTATCGGTTTTCTACTAAAATACGTTTTTGAATTAAGAAAATTGTGATAAATAGCTAGACCTTCATTTAGAAACTTCCTTTGGTGCCCAGAGGTTGAGCAGAATTTGTGACGCGCCCTGGCGTCACCCCTCAGTACTGCAGACTGGGATCTTCTTACAGTGTAAGGCCACACTGGTTTAATTCTATGGATAACATCCTTGCGCGCATTGATTTTCGCCTGTTCTAAACAAAAAAAAACACCTCCTATGCAGGCTCTGGCCTGGGTGTCCATGCCCGTAGCCAGGATTTTGAATGGGGGGTTCTTCCCACTGCTAGAGGGGACCTCGAGCGCCGTAGGCGCGAGGTTCCTATAGCTAGGGGGGTCCGGGGGCATGCTCACCCGGAAAATTTTGAAAAATGAACCTTCTTAAATGGCATTTCGTGCGTTTTTGATGAGATTTTCAAGAAAAAAATCAGAGATAAATTTTTATTCAATGACAAAGGGAGCTCTTTTTCTACGATTCCAGTCCTTTTCAAGAAATAATCTTGGACCTGTAATAAAAAGTGGACCAAAAAGTGGACCTTTACATAAAAAGTGGACCAAAAGTGGACCTTTTAGCCTTGTGGGGGGGGTTCTTCCGAACGTGTCATCCTCCGTAGTCCATGGTAGCTAGCGACAATAGGGAGCCGGCGGTAACTGCAGAGGATGGCACCCAGGCTGCCGAAGCTCCACGGAACTCAAGAACTCAGTACTGTACCAACTCATAAATGCCACAAAAGGCCAGCATGTGCCGGCTTTTTGTAGTAAAAGTGCTTATCTACTACCGCAAATTCATAATATAAGCTTTGTATTCCTGTGGTTCAGCAGCATTCTTCGGCTTTATTTTTTATTCACCCGCGCGCACTAGTTTGGGGGTCTTCAGAGGACGTCATCCATAAAATGAAGTCAGTGTGGCCTAAGTAGGATCAGAACATGAATCTGACCTCGGTGACCTGTATCTTGTACTATTTTTCTGCCTCCCTGCCTATACTATCACAGGGGAGCTGACTGAATATAACACATCACCAGAGAGGGTTGACCTTCTAATCGCCAAATCGTACGGCTTTACCTCTCTTCCCGTATCTTTCACACTTGTTGGAGTTCCCTTTAAAGGAGTACTAACCTCCAGAAGGAAGTGCTATTTTCCGATACATCATGCTGCAATGAATACATAACTAGCCGACTTTTTACATAATTTTGCTTGTACGACTTGCACGGCGCATGTTTGTAAAGCGATATCAATATCAATTTTCCCCATGCTGAACCACAATCGATACATCCGGGAACTCTGGCATACGCAATACTCATACACTTGAAGTCAACATAAACATTTTTCGGCGAAACTAGTAGGAGACAAGCACACTAAAATGCTGATTATTGAGAAATTACTTGCTTTACTTTGCTTGACATGTGGCTTGAATACTATAATATCAGGATGTCTGGCAGTGGGCGCTAGTTTCATCCTGCG